CGGTGCAGGCATCTCAATAGGCGTTGACGGCGGGGATGGCTTCGCGGGAGGCGTGCTGAATGGCAAAACCGATTGGCTATACCGGCGCTTCTTCACTGCAATTGAGGGAAACGACTCAGGAACTTCTGACTCAGGTCTCTGTGGCTGGGAGACTATCTAGAGAGGCAAGGGCCGCCGCTTTATGAACGGGGAATCGCCATCCTTCACTGGATGCAGATGGTTTGGACAGTGGGTGGGGCGAGGGACTTAATACAATGCCACCCAAAAAGTATAGTTCAGTTCTAGGACGGTGGCTACAAGACGTGTCATCGTCGACTTTTGCCCAGTCGTCGTCTGTATTATCAACCATGGCTGGGTTGTTTTGAAAGAAATGCCAGTGCATCGTGAAAGTCAATGCTCCCTAGTGTCTTTTGTATGCTGTTTAAGGTTTGCTTTGGAAAAAAATACATACGTTCATCTCTGTGGCCTAAAACATTACCCTTTGGAATCAGGGATTTTTTTTTTTCTAAAAAAAAAAAAAATTCACCCAGAGAAATCGGTGCGACAAAAAAAAATCACCCACATAATCAGTGTATCAAGGTAATTGACATTGGTAGGATAAGGCCTGGTTGGTGTTGCTGCTTGCGTAGCGTTGGAGCTAGTGCAAGTACTGATGCACACTGAATCCGCATCGCCGTGAGTGTGGCGATTTTGAGCAAGTTGTCTTGTAGTTGATGTACTAGTTTGTTCATACGCTCATGCGTTAATTTCGACATAATAATATGATTCGCCACTTCGAAGGGTATTGGTTTTACATGGCGACTAAACTCATCGCTTTGTGTGCCTGCTCTAGCAGACCTATCCCGTCCAAGAACCCTTCTTATTCTAGCACTGAGGCGTAGACCGACTCGGCCTCATCCAACATAGCGTGGTTTGACAAAAGTAGCGCGCGAGATGGCGAATACCGGTAAGCGGTAATGTACAAAACCGTCGTGCCCATGAAAGGTGTTTTACACGTTGAAGACACATGCGACACAAGGAACTTCATTTTTTTCCGTTACAAGTGACCAAATCAGTGAAGCAACTTACCTAACCACACATGAAGGGTTAGAGTTTTCGCTTTTGAGCCCCATGTTTGTTACCATTCGCATATTTTGCCATTTACTTATATCGGATTGTTTTATTGCGGAATTGCTTGACTTGATTTTGGGTTTGAGTCCAGGCGCAACAGCAGAATATGACCAGCGGACAAAGATCGCGCGCTACAGTTCTTTCTAAGAAAGTATAGTTCAACAACCCCCAGACAAAAGGAAACGAATTTCAAGAAAGGGCTGTGATGCATCCACCATGGAAAGGTCGCGTCGCCTCGCTGTTCTTCTCGTATCAGTCATACTCTCCCTCACCTCGCCGTCGTCGGCTGTCGTAACACTCGACCCCTCGCAAGGTCCGTCGCTGCTCCATCCCTTATGATCGTTACCGCACTAGTACCCGTTTACGACTTTCGAGATTTAAGCTACGACCGCACGCAGAAGCCCTTCACCCTCTCAACCTTCCCAATGCGCGTGTCGCGCCGCTGCATCTCTCGAGCTTCCTTTCCTGCCCGGGTCAGCGGCTGACCTGCCCTCCAAAGATCTCACGGATCACACCTTCCCTCCCCCATCATTCAAATGTACAACCCCGTGCATCCCTCTCCGCTTGTCTCATCCATCGTCTCATATGTTTCCGCCTCTCGCACCTTCTTTCTCCTCCTTTTCGCCTCCCAATCCCGCTCCTCCCAATCCTTTTGCTCATTCTCAATACCCCTCCTTGGCCTCCCCCTGTTCCGCGCAGCGGCGGTGCTGGCGGAGTGTCAGAGGCAGTGGCAGGCGCAGCTGCGCGGATGGAGCAAGGGGGGGGGACTGCGCGCAGGTGGAGGGCGTGCGCTGCAACGCAGCTGGGTTTATCGTCTTCCTGTGCGCCCTGCACGCCTTCCCCCGCCCTCTTCCCCTCCCCGCTCTCCCTCTCCCCGCCCCCTCATTCCCCACCTCCTCTCTCCCCGCCCCCTCTCTCCCCGCCCCCTCTGTCCCCGTCCCCTCTCCATCTGCTTTCCCCCTTTTTTGGGCGGAAATCTGAATTCATGAGTGGAAGCTGGATGGTCTGGTGTGGGCATGTAGGGAAGTGATTCTGAGTATCCATGCCCCATGCTTGCTGCTCCATCATACTTTCTGGACCATGCCTGCCGGACCATGCCCCCCATGTTCCCCATGTCCTTCGTGCCCTCCATTTCCCCCGTGCCCCCTATGTCCCCCGTGCGCCCCATGTCCCCCATGTCCCCCATGCCCCCCATGCCCCCCATGCCCCCCATCCCCATGTCCCCTTGCAGGAATGTGAGTGGCAAGCAGTTGGAGGGACCCATTCCAGATGCCATTGGGAACCTCACCGCACTCACTCAACTGTACGCTGCTGCATGCCATGCCATGCCGCGCCATGTGAGCCCATGCCATGCAAGCCCATGGCATGTGATGTGAGGCCATGCCATGCCATGTGAGCCCATGCCATGCAAGCCCATGCCATGTGATGTGAGGCCATGCCATGTGAGACCATGCCATGTAAGCCCATGACATGTGATGTGAGGCCATGCCATGTAAGCCCATGACATGTGATGTGAGGCCATGCCATGTGAGACCATGCCATGTAAGCCCACGACATGTGATGTGAGGCCATGCCATGTGAGGCCATGCCAGGCCATGCTACTGCGCAAAGTGATGCGTCGATCCATGCAACTATGCTATCTCTCCACCCATGCCTGCCCTATCTCCATCGATGGCTGCCCTATCTCCATCGATGGCTGCCCTATCTCCATCGATGGCTGCCCTATCTCCATCGATGGCTGCCCTATCTCCATCGATGGCTGCCCTATCTCCATCGATGGCTGCCCTATCTCCATCGATGGCTGCCCTATCTCCAGCATGCCATATCTAACCTCTCCTGATTCCTTTCTCCTACTACCTCAATGCCAGTGCCATGCGTGCCTTCCGGGTTTGTGGCCCTGCATCTCAGAAGTTCAGAACTCATTTGCCTCCCTGCCCGCCCTACACACAACACAACTTGCCCCGATCCAGGCATCTCTCAAGCAACAAGCTCACAGGCTCCCTTCCAGCCACCGTGCCTCGCCTCACCCGCTTAGAAGAGCTGTGAGTGGCACATCGGCCGTGCTACAGACAATTTCCAAGGCACCTCAAAACCATCACCACTACGTTGCATACATGGCAAGCCAAGGTGGATTTGCACTTTCTCCCATGCGTTCCACCATTTGCACTTAGCTTGGCTTGCCATGTTCACAGCTGCAGGTTGACAGTCAAACAGCTCACCGCAAGAGCCCTGACCCCGGCCGCTGTGCTGACAAGCGGCCGCTTGGCAATACATGATATGAATGACGTGCATGACATCACATGACATGGCATGCCATGATGTTTCTCCGTCTTCCCCCTCCCCATGTGACTCGCATGGCAGAACTCTCAGTTTCAACAGTTTGTCAGGCTCCATCCCAGAAGCCATTTCTGACCTTTCTGCCCTCTCACGCCTGTAATCTCCTATGACACACCTCGACCAGCAACCATGCCATGCCATGACATATATACTGGATGCGATAAGCCACGTGCCCCATAAACTTTGAGGCAGCCCGAACAAAAAAAATCAGGGAAAACAAAAACCAGGCCGTGTTTCCGCACTGAAAATGCGCCCATGACCAACTCGAATATTTTCACCCCCAAAAAACCCGACTCCCACACGTGTGTTTTGGGTCGACTCCATCCCCAAGACTCTCTCACACCATCCCCTCCCCCACTCCTCACCCCCCTGGCCCCCAAGTTTGCTTACCTGTGCAATTTTTTTTTTGCCTGCTCGTCCGAGCATCAAACCGGGGTCAACAAATTCACACAGCGGGTGTGAAGGATCTTGACCTTAGCGTTTTGCCTTGACTCGTTAGTTCCATTCCATCAAAGCGTCAAGCAAACATGTTAGGCAAGACTTGACGTTAGCTGAAGACTTGGTGGTTGGCTGGGCACCGTCCGATGTTGAGGGCCTCGTTGGCGACATGCCAGATGCTCCGTGCCAGATGCTCCGTGCCAGATGCTCCGTGCCAGATGCTCCGTGCCAGATGCTCCGTGCCAGATGCTCCGTGCACAGAACAGAAGAATGGGAGAACGGCAGGTATTTGGCATGGAATGGAGGAGACACACCTTGTTGCTGTGGTGCTTGTGCACTGCTCCTCCGTATAGCCTCGTGGCCATGCCACTTGCTCGCTCCCCACTCATATGCCCGTTGCTTGCTGTGCCTTGCTCCCCATGCACCCCCTGTTGTGCCTCAATAGGTTGCTCGACAATAACAAAATCTGCGAGATCCCTTCGACCATCATGCTTCTCTCCAATCTCACCTTGTTGTGAGAACAATTTTCTGCCACTGCCAATCTTCTTTCTCTGTGTGTGTGGTAACTTTTGGGAGCCCTGGCTTAAGGGTGCCCTTCCCCAGGCTCCACCCACCACCTCTTCCTGCGTCATGATTCTCGTGGATTTTTATTGACCCTCATTGACCCCCATTGACCCTCATTGACCCTCATTGACCCTCATTGACCGTCATTGACCCTCATTGACCCTCGCTGACCCTCGCTGGCCCTCACTGACCCGCTCTGCAGTTGAAATGAACGTAATGAGTAGCATAATATGCATAATAAGCCACACCTAACTATGCCCATCAGAGCTGCCCATAACTCGGTGATAACCACTGAGTTTTGCCAAAGTACGAATTAGAATGTCCTTTTTGAGAATTCTCAGAAACGGCACGCCTAGCAGCAGTCTCCGATACACAATGCTGGCATGCACGAGACGGAAGCGAGTGATAGCACGAAAGAGAGGTGTTTGTGGGTTCGTGACAAGTGAGAGCCTGTACTCCATTGGTCTCTCTCTGCTGCTTCTTCTTTCTTATGCCGTCATGTCACATCTGCACCAACTTCTTCTCGTGTGGCCCACGTTGCGCCAAAATAGGAATCTTGGAGCTAACAAGTTAAAGGGCTCAATCCCGTTAGCAATATTCCACCTCACCAAGCTCGCCTTGTTGTGAGTATTCCACCTCACTCCACCGATGCCAATCTTGCAAATCTGTGTTTGTGTGTGATACCTTCAAGGACCTCCAAGTCACGGTAGCCTCAGAGCCAGGCAGCACCATGAGGAGTTCAACCCTTCCTCCTTCAGAAGCTTGACCTTCCTTTATAGCTTATTGTGCCTCATGCCCGGCCTTGAACCTTACAAAAACTGTTTGTTTGTTTGTTGTTTTTGTTTTTTTTTTTTTTTTCCGCAAAAGCTGAATATCTTACACAAAGGCTGAATACGTCCACGTCTTTGATTGCTGGAGGAGAAATTGTTTAACTGTAGACACAGTGGCACTTTGCCGGCACGCAGGCTGGGCTACTAAGGTGAGACGGGCCAGTCAGCGAAGTGCAAAGAACATGTTGCTACTGGTTAGGTGAAAATGACTGGCAGTGTCACTGCTCAACACATTTGCCATGTGTTGGAACTTGTGTGCCTGAGCCGAGTCCACATGCAAGCTCCAACACTGGCTCTCAGTTTGACTTGAAATGACATGACATGACATGACATGACATGACAACAAGCCCTGATCCAAGGGTCGATCGAGCACCGGCTCATTCATTATCTCATGGCTTTGAGGCGCCTAAAAAACGGAGTCCACCTGCAAGCTCCAACATTGGCTCTCAGCTTGACATAACAACAAGCCAATCCCTGTTCCAAAGGTCGATGGAGCAACGGGTCATCCCGTTTCTCATGTGCTGTCTAGTTGCTCAAGAATGCTTGATGTACATCTCTTCGAAAAATCACGTCTCACCGTGTTTCGTGGCTCAATTGGCTGAAAGAACCATGGCTGAAAGAACCATGGCTGGCTATTCTTTTCACTCAAATCTATCTAGTCTAACAGCTCAAAATCCCCCCCCCCATCCAAACTGACCTTCCTACGCCGTTTTTTTTCTATTTGTTTCGTAACCCACGCAGTGCTGTGTGTGCGTTGTGTGTGGGTCACATGTCAGGGACCTTCGATGGAATTTGTTCTCAGGATCCATTCCATCAGCAATTGCTAACCTCACTCTCCTCTCCTACCTGTAAGCGTGGTTCCTGCAAGACAAGCCGTTGCCCGGCCCTTGCTACTTACGATCGGTGCACCAGCTCACAGTTTTTAAATTGAACCATCCATGCTATGTCATACTGTCAGAACTTCAGATATCAGCCGGCTCTTGATCAAGCCACCTCCCTGGGAAGCCAAGCCAAGCCGAGCCAGTTTTTTTTCGCCGAGCCAAAGCGCGTCTCGAGCCGAACCTTCCCAGCCCAGGAGCTGTGCGTGGCTCGGCAAACGCCTCACCTCATTTGAGTGTGCTGTGTGTGCTGAGTGTGCGCGTGTCTCATCATTCCACCTGGGCGTGGCCTGAGCTGCACCTGTCTTAGTCACCTTCACAGGATATTTTGTGATCCGACTGAAAGTCACTCGGCTTGAGTCGAACCGGGTCTGTCTTTCTCACCCTTGCGGTTCAGCTTTTCTCCTTGCTTGCATTCGTTTGGTGCACTGCTGGCTGAATTCTATTAGATTTCAGTGATGCCTGAAAGCGGCAGTGAGAGCACCAGGTGCAGGGGGCACGCCGCATGGGAGCGGACCAGAGCTCTATGGAGCTCGCATTGTTGCTTAGAGGGCAATGCTGCTCTCACTCGTCTCACCTTGTTATGGAACGCGTTTTTTGTCGGCTCAAAGAAGTTGCCAACAAGGCAATGGTGCTGTCACTGGACTCACCTTTGTAAGACGCCTCAAACGTATTGATATAGAGGCAGTCGTGTTGATACTCGCTCCATTGTGGACCCAAGCGGCGTGAGTGGGTGCCCAGCTACTGGGGCAGTTTTAGTAGGGGCAGGCAGGAGGAGCGAGGCAGTCATGGTTGCTTGAAAGTCTGGTGCGGACGATTCTTGTGTGGCTGAAGGGGCTGAAACTCCTCTTCAAGCCATTTTGGTAAGGGCTGAATGCGTGCTGACAGGTGTGCTGACAGGTGTGCGTTACTTGGCTGGTTCATATTCTGGTGCAAATGGTGTCAAATCATATCACAACGCACAGATCATATCACAACGCACAGATGTACAGATCATATCACAGCGCACAGATCATATTACAGCGAACAGATCAAATTCAAGCGCACAGATCATATCACAGTGCACAGATCATATCACAGCGCACAGATCATATCACAGCGCACAGATCATATCACAACGCACAGATCATATCACAGCACACAGATCATATCACAGTGCACAGATCATATCACAGTGCACAGATCAAATCACAGCACACAGATCATATCACAGCACACAGATCATATCACAGCACACAGATCATATCACAGCGCACAGATCATATCACAGCGCACAGATCATATCACAGCGCACAGATCATATCACAGCGCACAGATCATATCACAGCACACAGATCATATCACAGCACACAGATCATATCACAGTGCACAGATCATATCACAGCACACAGATCATATCACAGCACACAGATCATATCACAGCACACAGATCATATCACAGTGCACAGATCATATCACAGCACACAGATCATATCACAGCACACAGATCATATCACAGCACACAGATCATATCACAGCACACAGATCATATCACAGCACACAGATCATATCACAGCACACAGATCATATCACAGCACACAGATCATATCACAGTGCACAGATCATATCACAGCACACAGATCATATCACAGCGCACAGATCATATCACAGCACACAGATCATATCACAGTGCACAGATCATATCACAGCGCACAGCATTGATAGAATCGGCAGGACCGAAGCAGAGAGGGTGGGGCCAGCTTGGAGTCACGCCCCTAGTCATTTACCTTGGCAGCAAAGGAGACACAAGGCCGATTTTGAGTCGCCTTTGAAGGACACAGAAGGTTGCTGGATTGGAATGAGTAGCTTTGTGTTGAGGTAAGAGGGTACAGGTGGGGCTCCGAAAATGGGTCCATGCGACCAAGAGCAAAGGCATGCTGCATGTGGCTCACATGTGGACATTCGCTGCTCCATATGGCGCCCTTCGTGGCTAACAACGTGCGCATGCTACTGTCTCCATATATGCCCCTTGCTTGTTGTGCCTTGCTCCCATATGGCTAGTGTTTTTGCGCCTTGCTCCCAATATGCCCCCCACTGTGCTGTTCTCCTCATATGCCCCTCACTGCATCTGTACAGGACATTTGGCGGGAACATACTCACTGGCGCAATCCCTTTATCTCTCTTCCGCCTCACAAATCTTGCCATGCTGTGAGCACACTCTTCCACCCCACCAATCGTATTGCTGCTCCCGTGTGTGTGTTGTACCTTAGGCAGCTCCAACATACAGTTCCCTTGCCCAGGCTCCACCCTTGCCCAGCCTCCACCCTTGCCTCCTCCGTTGGCTTCTCTTGACTAGCCTCCCTTTACAGTCACGCTTTATCACCAATGAAGGGCGGGCCTAGGGTGGCTCGTCGCCTGGTGGCTCATAACGAGTCGGTCGCTTAAGGAGGGACGCCTAGGGAGGAATTCTTAGGGAGGGACGCCTAGGGAGGAATTCGTAGGCCAATCTAGTGTGACATAGGGCAGTCTCATCTCATTGATTGATTTTTGCTCAGAAGGGGAATGAGTAAGGATGCATGACAGAAAGGGTATGAGTAATGGCAGAGCACAGACCGCATGATATGATCGATCGCGAGTCAGGACTGCTGGCTGCGGGGGCATGAGGTGAGATGAGATGAGATGAAATCAGATTAGATGAGATGAGATGGAATGCTGTACCAGCAACCTCAAGGCTGAGAGGCAAGAGAGCCCTCGGATATGCCTCATTCCCTCACCGGGCAACTAGCAGCTTCTGCATGACACAAAGGGCAGAAGCAACTTGTGCATGACACAAAGGGCGGAAGCAACTTGTGCATGACACAAAGGGCAGAAGCAACTTGTGCATGACACAAAGGGCAGAAGCAACTTGTGCATGACACAAAGGGCAGAAGCAACTAGTGCATGACACAAAGGGCAGAAGCAACTTGTGCATGACACAAAGGGCAGAAGCAACTGGTGCATGACACAAAGGGCAGAAGCAACTAGTGCATGACACAAAGGGCAGAAGCAGCTGATCTGAGAGAGTTATGCCCCCCTGATGAGAACAAACGTGGTGCGTCTATGTATGAAGGCTGAGCTAGGTGATCGATGCGAAATGGAAGAAGCGGTTTGAGTTGCCTTCTCACGCTCACCCACCCTCTCAAACCCTCGTTTCATGCTACTTCAATCGTCCCAGGCCCCCCCCCACGCTGAAGCTGCAATCCACATTTCTTGCGGTTTCCATCCCTTTCCTGGCGTGTGCTTAACTCCATGACACGCATGTCACGGCAGAGAGCTTCGGTGGAATCAGCTGTCAGGCTCCATTCCTGCAGCCATCTCTCGCCTGGCTGCCCTCTCGCGCCTGTAAGTACGCCTCACTCACTCTCAGCCTGTCGACGAGCACAGGCACGCCGCAGGGGTCTTCTTGACTCATTCAGAGGGGCTTTGGCACGCCTCAAAAGTCGAACGCAGGCACGCTGCTGCACGCCCAGATCTACGCTGTGAGGCAATCAAGCTCCACGCTGTTGCCTATCAAGTTTCAGCACGTATTGTAATGGGTTGGTCCCAAAGCAAATTTTCTGAGGTGTGCCAAGCACATGTTTCAAGAATTTGTTGAAAATAGGCTTCACCTTATCTCTTTTCGGTTGGGTATAAACTTTCCATCCCCAACCTATCTAACCTTATCCATCCAAAATCCCCATTATTTGGATGGACCATCTTGGGAGTTCGTCCTGATTGCGTCTCATCCATCCACCCAACCCTCCTAGTTTGCTGTAAGCCCATGTACCATATATTATTATGGTATCAGGGCATCCATTTCCGTCTATACGGTTGTTGATCCCCCCGTTGTTCGACCTCACTACAACTTTCTCTTTAAATCGTAATATTGCTTTCCTATCTCAGTATCACTTTTGCAATCGTTCTGCCGCCCGCCCCCCACGCGTCTGCGCAGCATTTCATCGTTCTGCCACCCGTTGGTGTGTCCACATGGCATGGCATGGTGGTGGTGTGTGCACATGACATGACATGGCATGGCATGGAGGTGGTGTGTCCACATGGCATGGCGTGGAGGTGGTGTGTCCACATGGCATGGCGTGGAGGTGGTGTGTCCACATGGCATGGCGTGGTGGTGGTGTGTGCACATGGCATGGCATGGAGGTGGTGTGTGCACATGGCATGGCATGGCACGGTGATGATATGTGCACAGAGATCTCAGCTTTAACGTCAAACTGACAGGATCCATTCCCCTTGAGATGAAGAACCTCACCAAGCTCCAATTGCTGTGAGTGACCTCTGCTTCCTCGCTCTAAGTGACCCTCTGCTTCCTCTCTCTAAGCGACCCTCTGTTTCCTCTCTGTGAAAAAGCATCTGTTTCCCCTCTCACCACATTCCATGTGGACTCACCATTCACTGCCCGTGCAGTTCTCCTTAATTGTGAAGGTGCTGTTTCAATAATTGTGTTTTGTGTGCATCTTTGTTGGTATGTGTGCATGTTTGCGCATGTGCACATGTGTGGGTTTGTGCGTGCATGGGTCGGTGGGTACGTACGTGCATGGGTGTGTGGGTGTATGCTTGCAAGGGTGGGGTGTGTGTGGGTGTGCGTGAGTTGCGTGTGCAATCGTGTGCATGTGCGTGCACGCACACGCGCGTGTGTGTGTGCCTATGGTGCGGCACATGTGTGTGCAGGTACCTCAGCTATATGAGTCTATCGGGCCCCTTTCTCTCCTCGGTCTCTGGTCGCACCATTTTCAGGAAATTGTATGCTCTCTGCCTCTTTGTGCTCTCTGCCTCTTTGTGCTCTCTGCCTCTTTGTGCTCTCTGCCTCTTTGTGCTCTCTGCCTCTTTGTGCTCTCTGCCTCTTTGTGCTTTCTGCCTCTTTGTGCTCCCTGCCTCTTTGTGCTCTCTGCCTCTTTGTGCTCTCTGCCTCTTTGTGCTCTCTGCCTCTTTGTGCTCTCTGCCTCTTTGTGCTCTCTGCCTCTTTGTGCTCTCTGCCTCTTTGTGCTCTCTGCCTCTTTGTGCTCTCTGCCTCTTTGTGCTCTCTGCCTCTTTGTGCTCTCTGCCTCTTTGTGCTCTCTGCCTCTCTGTGCTCTCTGCCTCTCTGTGCTCTCTGCCTCTCTGTGCTCTCTGCCTCTTTGTGCTCTCTGCCTCTTTGTGCTCTCTGCCTCTTTGTGCTCTCTGCCTCTTTGTGCTCTCTGCCTCTTTCTGCTCTCTGCCTCTTTTTGCTCTCTGCCTCTTTCTGCTCTCTGCCTCTTTGTGCTCTCTGCCTCTTTGTGCTCTCTGCCTCTTTGTGCTCTCTGCCTCTTTGTGCTCTCTGCCTCTTTGTGCTCTCTGCCTCTTTCTGCTCTCTGCCTCTTTGTGCTCTCTGCCTCTTTGTGCTCTCTGCCTCTTTGTGCTCTCTGCCTCTTTGTGCTCTCTGCCTCTTTGTGCTCTCTGCCTCTTTGTGCTCTCTGCCTCTTTGTGCTCTCTGCCTCTTTGTGCTCTCTGCCTCTTTGTGCTCTCTGCCTCTTTGTGCTTTCTGCCTCTTTGTGCTCCCTGCCTCTTTGTGCTCTCTGCCTCTTTGTGCTCTCTGCCTCTTTGTGCTCTCTGCCTCTTTGTGCTCTCTGCCTCTTTGTGCTCTCTGCCTCTTTGTGCTCTCTGCCTCGTTGTGCTCTCTGCCTCGTTGTGCTCTCTGCCTCTTTGTGCTCTCTGCCTCTTTGTGCTCTCTGCCTCTTTCTGCTCTCTGCCTCTTTCTGCTCTCTGCCTCTTTCTGCTCTCTGCCTCTTTGTGCTCTCTGCCTCTTTGTGCTCTCTGCCTCTTTGTGCTCTCTGCCTCTTTGTGCTCTCTGCCTCTTTGTGCTCTCTGCCTCTTTGTGCTCTCTGCCTCTTTGTGCTCTCTGCCTTTTTGTGCTCTCTGCCTCTTTGTGCTCTCTGCCTCTTTGTGCTCTCTGCCTCTTTGTGCTCTCTGCCTCTTTCTGCTCTCTGCCTCTTTCTGCTCTCTGCCTCTTTCTGCTCTCTGCCTCTTTCTGCTCTCTGCCTCTTTGTGCTCTCTGCCTCTTTGTGCTCTCTGCCTCTCTGTGCTCTCTGCCTCTTTGTGCTCTCTGCCTCTTTGTGCTCTCTGCCTCTCTGTGCTCTCTGCCTCTCTGTGCTCTCTGCCTCTCTGTGCTCTCTGCCTCTCTGTGCTCTCTGCCTCTTTGTGCTCTCTGCCTCTTTGTGCTCTCTGCCTCTTTGTGCTCTCTGCCTCTTTGTGCTCTCTGCCTCTTTCTGCTCTCTGCCTCTTTGTGCTCTCTGCCTCTTTCTGCTCTCTGCCTCTTTGTGCTCTCTGCCACTTTGTGCTCTCTGCCTCTCTGTGCTCTCTGCCTCTTTGTGCTCTCTGCCTCTTTGTGCTCTCTGCCTCTTTGTGCTCTCTGCCTCTTTCTGCTCTCTGCCTCTTTCTGCTCTCTGCCTCTTTGTGCTCTCTGCCTCTTTGTGCTCTCTGCCTCTTTGTGCTCTCTGCCTCTTTGTGCTCTCTGCCTCTTTGTGCTCTCTGCCTCTTTGTGCTCTCTGCCTCTTTCTGCTCTCTGCCTCTTTGTGCTCTCTGCCTCTTTGTGCTCTCTGCCTCTTTCTGTTCTCTGCCTCTTTCTGCTCTCTGCCTCTTTCTGCTCTCTGCCTCTTTCTTCTCTCTGCCTCTTTGTGCTCTCTGCCTCTTTGTGCTCTCTGCCTCTTTGTGCTCTCTGCCTCTTTGTGCTCTCTGCCTCTTTGTGCTCTCTTTCTCTTTGTGCTCTCTGCCTTTTTGTGCTCTCTGCCTCTTTGTGCTCTCTGCCTCTTTGTGCTCTCTGCCTCTTTGTGCTCTCTGCCTCTTTCTGCTCTCTGCCTCTTTCTGCTCTCTGCCTCTTTGTGCTCTCTGCCTCTTTCTGCTCTCTGCCTCTCTGCTCTTTTTCAATCACCCCTGGTCATGCAAAAATCGAGCTGCGTTCATTTCCGCTCCCAGCCTTGCTCCGCGACCCGCCGTTGTATCTCTTGTTGACGATAGGCTGCACAGTTGTTAGTTTCGAGGTTTGATTTTCTGCATTCTTTTATAGAGTTAGTTTACGTTGGTTAGGTGTATGTGCGCGGTTCTTCGAGAGTTAGTTTACGTTGGTTTGGTGTATATGCATTCTTTCATCCCCAACCTATCTGACCTGATCCATCCAACATTTTCTCAATCTGGATAAATCCCCCTAGGACCTCCCTTCATTACCGTTATCCCTCCATCCCCCTTTACTTAAGCAAAGAGCACCTATGAGGCCAATAGTTGTACTCCGCAACATTCACTGGGTGTTCATGTTTGGTGCGGCGCAACTGTGCTGTGCACATCAGAATCTGTAGTCTTTCCCATTCGAATTGTGTAACTATACCCCTTGCCCATTCCAGTTAGGTCATTGCTCATTGTGCATGTGTGTGGCGTGTTGCAGGGAGGCAGCGCACAACAGCATCAGTGGCAGCATACCAGACTCCATCGGCAGCACCATCCACCTTCAAGTCTTGTAAGAGCCATCCACCTTCTAGTTTTGTATCCTATCAGCCTTAAATTTTTGTAACCCATCAACCTTCTAGTTCTGCAACCCATGAACCTTCCAGTTTAATATCCCAACAACTTTCAAAATTTTACAACAAATCCTTCAGCCTTCAAGTTTGGTGAACCATCAAACTTCAAGCCTTGTAATGTCTCCTTCCCCTCACTGCTCCCTATCCCTCACTGCGCCGCCTGACACGAACCTTGCGGCCCGCTCCCGTGAATTTTGAGTCGACTCAAAAGTCACCTGAGCAGGACACAGCTTGGAGGAAGCGTTGCTCCGTGTTCAGCGTCAGCAAAGCATTGTTGCAGAGGGTCACCAGTGACTTTTGAGTCGAGTCAAAAGTCACCTCGGAAGGCCCGCTCCCAGGACCCTAGCGTCAATTTTCTCGAGGGTCCTTCATGGGCACACAATGATAATCCTCAAGCTCATTTTTTAGCTCCAACCTGTTTGGTCCTCGAGGGTCGGTTTATGTGCATACCTCTTTCTGGTCGGCCTGTTCCCCAGCCTCATTCTTCACCACCAACCAACATACCCATCTTTTCCACAGTTGATTCCCAATAGTTAGTGAAACCAATGGCAGCGTCGGGTTGCACAACTTTCTGTTCGCTCACTGCGGTCAACTTTGTTTTGTCACGATGCAAAACGGTAAACCTTGACAACCAATTCCCACCGTGTGGAACCGTCCTGAGCCACGACACAAGAACTGTAGACGTGCGAGACATAACGAATAAGCCTCCAATTGAACTCGAACCTGCCCAACCCGGGCGGACATAGTAGGCATGAGCAAAGACCCGGGCTCCTGTTCGATTCGACTCGAGCATGTTGGGGGCATACCAAACTGGGCTCTTCTTTTGCTTGGAAGTGTTCGACCCAAACATGTACATGTTCGGTTCGGTTCGTGGAAAAACACCAAGTTGTGCCGAACATCAAACGATCGGGCAAGCATGGGTTGGAATATTTCACTTACAGCCGGGCCCGGGCTGCCGGACTAGGTTTGAGGTGGGCCAAACCAGGTTGAACCCGTGCGCATGCCTGCCCTATCCCTCACTGCACCCCAATCCACTTGCCACAGCTCTCATTCGCGCACCCTTATCCGCCCTGCGGGCACCCCAATCCTATCCACCCCTATCCGCCCCGTGTGCACCCCTACGTGTCTCAGCACCCTGTCAGTGTCTCCTCACCAAGCTCAGCACCCTGTCAGTGTCTCCTCACCAAGCTCAGCACCCTGTTAGTGTCTCCTCACCAAGCTCAGCACCCTGTCAGTGTCTCCTCACCAAGCTCAGCACCCTGTCAGTGTCTCCTCACCAAGCTCAGCACCCTGTCAGTGTCTCCTCACCAAGCTCAGCACCCTGTCAGTGTCTCCTCGCCAAGCTCAGTACCCTGTCAGTGTCTCCTCACCAAGCTCAGCACCCTGTCAGTGTCTCCTCACCAAGCTAACCACCCTGTCAGTGTCTCCTCACCAAGCTCATCACCCTGTCAGTGTCTCCTCACCAAGCTCAGCACCCTGTCAGTGTCTCCTCACCAAGCTCAGCACCCTGTCAGTGTCTCCTCACCAAGCTCAGCACCCTGTCAGTGTCTCCTCACCAAGCTAACCACCCTGTCAGTGTCTCCTCACCAAGCTAAGCACCCTTCCAGCCCTTGCATCTCATGGGATGCTGCTTTTGGGGTGCGTACGCTTGCAGCTCATGCATCCAACCAAGAGAGTATCTGCTGTGCCATTCCATCAGCATTCCATCAGCATTCCATCAGCAGTCTCATCAAGCTCAGCAGTCTGTCGGCAGTATCTTTACTGTCAACGCCTCGCCATGGGCTGCTGTGAGACTTTTGAGATTTCTAAAATAAAGTCTCATCAGACGACCTCTCAAACAGGAATGGCCAACTCCGAACCCCCGTTTTTATTTATTCTTCGGTGTATCTGCCTAATATTCTCTAGGGGAATGCGTGTTTAGTCCTTGAAGAATATTGCTCCTTCACAATTGTAGCCAAGTCTTACCTGTAATGAAAGTGCTGATCGCACCAAAAGTGGACCGTTTCTAACTGAACCGCCTGTGGTTCGGCTCAAGCGTGCTCGGTTGGATCCATAAGTGTCGAACCTCGACCTGACGAACCGGTTTGACGTCAAACTTGTTCGAGTTGTAGAGCCTAATAACAGAACTGGTTCGGTTTGGTTAGTTGCTCGTGCCTAGTTTCAAATTCAGCGTGTCAGCCTGTCGGTTTGGTTCCAACGTCCCCCTCTCACCGCGGGCTACTCTTGAAGCTAATGCGGGGCGGCGGTACGCTTCACGAGATTATATGTTCTTATGTTTAGGCGCCTCAGAATTCGTCTCTCTTCTCACAGGAGCACATGAACAGAGGGGCAGCACCACGTGCTTTCTCCAAAAAACTACCCACATTGCTCCTGCTCCTGTTTCACAAGAGTGTATGCTGTGCAGGGTGCCACCTCCCCTCCCCTCCACTCGTGTGGTAGGAACGAGCAGCCGATGATTGATGATGTGGCTGACAAGGCTGACGAGTGCGTTGCATTGCAACTTGCAGGGACCTGTCTGACAACCAGCTTGAGGGGACCATCCCTGAGGGAATTGGCAACATGAAGGACATTCGGAAACTGTGAGATCACTAGATGATTCCTCCACTCTAGATTCCTACCTCTTATCTTCTTCATCCAACCATCATGGTGTGAGTCAGACTCTCAGTGTTGTTTTCATTATATCCCCTCCCTCTCTCGTATCTCCACAAGATGCCATCCCAACACTGTGTGCCCTTCACGCCATGCCATGAAGTTCTGCAGTTTGTACCTTCTTATCTCTGGAGAAACGCCACCACTGTGTGTGCTGTCACTGTATGCTTTCACTGTGTGTTCTGTCACTCTGTGGCATGAGCTCGCAGGGATCTTTCCAACAACTACTTGACCGGCACTCTCCCCACCACCCTCTCTTGCCTCTCTGGCCTGTTTCAGCTGTGAGTCACTCTTCACGAGGCAGCAGGGGTGCATGGGTGCGTGGGGACATGGAAGCGTGGATGGTACATGGATGCATCGGTGCATGCATGGGAACATGGATGGATGCAGGGGTGCATGCATGGGTGCATGCATTGGGACATGGATGCATGGGTTTGTGGGAGACAAGGACGCATGGGTGTACGCATGGGGACATGGGTGTATGGGAAGATGGGTGTGTGGGTGCACGTGCATGGGTGATGGGTGCATGGGTACACATCATGGCGTAAATGGGGTACCCGACCACCTCAGGACAGGGCTCGGGGCAAGCGGTGGGTGAGGGTGTAGCTGGAGCAATAAGTAGGTGCTGAGTGGGAGTGGAGTGAATATGGGCTTGCACGAGCCCATCTGAAAGTGATGAGAGCTCTGTCGCTGAGAAACTCTGGGGAGAGCCTCCCACTAGAGAACACGAATATAGCTTTTTGGGAAAGGAAAGGTCGAGATCCACGTGTGCTAGTTAGAATAGAAGCTCTGATACCATCCTTAAAAAGGGAGATCAAGGCTCCTTAAGTACATCGAAAATGGGTTGGAAAGGAAAGATAGGGAATTGTGGGTATTTCCCAATGGGATCAACTGTCCAATTGGTGGGTTAGAGATTCTGGTTGATCACATTTGGTTGGGATATTGGTTTGTCACCGAGCCCATGAAAACAGCTACACTTAAATCTCTAACATATGATTGGCATATGAATTGACACATGGATTCGCATATTCATTGGCAGATCGTTGGTTGCTGGGTGATGAGGCAACAATAGTCCACATGCTCATGAGCTTACCTTATGGTTTTCTCTTCTCTTCTACGGCTCCTCTTCAGGCACCTCGAGAAGATAATGAACTCGAGAAGATAATGAACTCGAGAAGATAATGAACTCGAGAAGATAATGAACTCGAGAAGATAATGAACTCGAGAAGATAATGAACTCGAGAAGATAATGAACTCGAGAAGATAATGAACTCTGCTATTCCATGCGTTCTTCCTCAAGTTCCTCCAGCGCAACAACCTGAGTGGCTCATTTCCTCTCTGGATTGCACAGATGTCCAGCATTGGATGGCTGTGAGTGCATTGCAGCATTGGATGGATTGTGATTCTTTTCCCATTGTACCTGCGATAAAAAAAGCAGTGGGTAGAGTGATACATGCAGGCACGGTTGCATTGCCACTGTGACCTGTGCTGTTCTGCTGCAATCCTATGCCTTCATTGCAATCCTATGCGTTCATTGCAATCCCATGCGTTAATTGTAATCCCATCCCATGCGTTCATTGCAATCTCAAGTGAAACTTACCTACACCCCCGACTTTGAAGTTGTGAGTGTGATGCTCTATGTTGCTCCCCTCTACCACATATAATGGCCCACCAATGGAGCTCATCGTCTTGTCACCATTCGTTCTGCTCCTGAATATTCACCCATCCACACGTGTTGGAGTTGCTTTTGACGATTCTCATAAGTTGTTCAACACAATCGTGCCGAACCTACCATCGTAGTGACAACATCTGCTGTGTGCGATCACTGCATCCATTGCATGGCAGCTACCTCTGTGACAACTTCTCTGGTCCCGTGCCTGCTTCTCTTGGCAGCTCTAAAGGCCTCATCTTTCTGTGAGTGACCTGCTGTGCAGTGTGCTCTCATGTTCCATGTGACCTGCTACCAAAACATGTATTTCACATAAGGGATGTCATCATCTTTGTCGTCTCTTCGATTACTGTTCTCTCATCATGCCTTGGCATTTCCCTTTGCCCTCTGTCAACCCCTCAATCCACCATCCCCCTTCCATCCTTCAACGAATTGTCAGGTTCGGGGCTCACATGCCCGCCGAATGCGTCCAGCTGTGTGGTTCGGCAGGTCAACTACAGCGCCTTCTGCCAGGACTGCCACGACTTCTGTGCCACGTGCACAAGTGATCAATGTGAGCTGCTTGGGACTTCTGTGCCACGTGCACACAAGTGTTCTCAAAATCTATCTGCAGCTGCACGGGCTTTTGTGACTTAGAGACGCCTCAGTCGACGCTAGCGTCACGTCACGTGTGTACGGGAGATGAAGGTGGGCTGCTTGGGGCACCGAGGTGACATTTGAGTTGACCCAAAGGGTGCATCTGCTACGAATGCAAGAGCTTCTGTGCCACGTGATGAAGGAGAGTTGCCTCAATACTTGTGATTCTGATGATCCAAATGTTTTGATAATGGTGCTTCAAAACTTACAAATTGGGTGCTTCAATACATGTTCTTCTCGTGTGCTGCTGCATGTGTCCCTCCAAAGCAGCCCCACCCCCATCACCAATTGTGGCCTCCCTTCCACCATCCCCATCGCCCAATCAACCCATCTACCCCTCCCCCTCCTCCTCGCCCGCCTCACCCTCCTCCACCTCACTCACTTCCTCCCAATCTGGCCTATCCGTGGGAGCTGTCATCGGCATTGTCACAGCTGCCCTTCTGCTATTGCTTCTGCTGCTTGCCTCAGCTTGGTGGCTAGCTGCGCACTTCAAGATTTCCACAAAAGGTAAGGTATTTTTTCATGTTAGCCTTTTGTCAAGGGAGCACAGGTGTGTGAGAACTGCCTCGATTCTGACAGATTTCAACAAGGAGCAGCAAATCAACGGTGTCTGTCATATCTTTGCCCAACGTAACTCGCAACACCGCTTTGTTCCCAGATGTGCTGCTTCTCACAAAGCAAAAAGGCAAATATCTATCTTCTTCTTTTATATATATATATGTATATACATCAACCGTGGTGCCCTTCCCAATACCATACTCCCTACAGACTCTTCCAGCCCGCGCTTAGGGAACGCAACCACACCATGCCGGCGATATTCCCTGGCCCTTGTGGCGCGCGCCACTGGCAACTGGTCCAAGGAGTGCCTGCTGGGGTCGGGCGCGTATGGAGACGTGTACCGCGGGGTGTGCCCCGAGGATGGCAGCACGCTGTGGGCCGTGAAGCGCGCCAAAGTCATCACCGCTGATTTCCATAGAGAGGTGGGTCACGGGCAGGGAGGTGGGTCACGGGCTGAGAGGTGGGCCAACACCTGCACGACTACTTTTGGGGCGCCTTGAATATAGACTCCTTTGGAGATGTGTGTGTAGTACCACACGATGTACCACACGATGTACCACACGATGTACCACACGATGTACCGCACTGACATCATCGATAATACCACACGGGGTATCTCCTGACGAGACAAGAATGGGCAACTTGGGAGAAAGTGTTGGTTCCACAGCTTCACAGCCGAATCCCTTTCTTTCAGCCAATTTACCATCCGCTAGTCTCGTACGACTCTTCCATGTTTCATATGTACCACACTGACATAACACTGACAACGGATATTCTCGAGGGCAATGTATGGAAATGCTGCATGCATCACTTAGACCCTAGTAAACATTGTAATTCTTCCAATCCTTTCTGATTTTGTGCCATGTATCAGCAATGCCATTATCCAAAAGAAAGGAAGAAGGAAGGAAGGAAGGAAGGAAGGAAGGGAGGGAGGGAGGGAGGGAGGGAGGGAGGGAGGGAGGGAGGGAGGGAGGGAGGGAGGGAGGGAGGGAGGGAGGGAGGGAGGGAGGGAGGAGGGATGGAAGGAAGGAAGGAAGGAAGGAAGGAAGGAAGGAAGGAAGGAAGGAAGGAAGGAAGGAAGGAAGGAAGGAAGGAAGGAAGGAAGGAAGAATCCTCTGGTTGGGTTCTGTTTGTAAAAATCCGTCTGCTCCCCTCTGGTTGCTTGGCCTCACACTAGTAACTCGATGGTCACGCAAAAGTCAGAAGTCTGTTCTGTACCAATCTGTGATTCTCTGCTCATGGTCTCATGCAACTGCCTCAGGTGGCCTTTGAGTCAACTCAAACGGCTTGCCCCTATCTGTTCCCATGCTGTTGTGTCGATCAACCATGCACTGTCTCAACCCCTCCCTCTCTCTCCCCTCTTGGTCCACCACAGGTGGAGCAGATGGCCACGAAGCACCATCCCAACCTGGTGCGGCTGCTGGGGTACGCAGTGGGAGGCCATGTGAGCACGCGCGTGGAGAACGTTCTCGTCTACGAGTTCATGGCCAATGGCGACCTGCGCACGTGGATCGGCCCACGTACTGTCCAGTCCTCTGCTGTGCTATGTCACCCATGCACTTGTACGGACGGATGTAGGAAAAAAAACAATCAAACAAACAAAAAGGTAGAAGGGCTTCTATGCTCGACCAGAACTAGTCGGCAAAGTGGCAGCCAACTCGAAGTTGGCTGGTCGAACCGGGCGGGTTGTAAGATTTCGGGAAAACGTGACAGTAACCGAAGGAGGACGGGCCATTCTGGGCCGGACCAGTCATGTCAGGCCGGGCCTGGCTCGAAGTAGGCCCGGCCAATCCGTCAGGTGTGACGAGCTAGAGAGGTCCGTCCTGAGTGGGGGTTGGCCCTTGCACAAACCTAGTCTGCAGTGGCCAGCGGATTGGATTGGAAGCACCAGGGCATGCCCTTCTTGGCTCTGAAGTGCCAATCACATTGATGCCATTTTTTGGGTGTACTATACTACACCGTATTCCCAGATGCCCCCGCAAGTTTGACTGTGCAGTAGCGGGTGGGAGTCCACTTATGTGTTGCTCATGGCTTCAGGGTTCTTCTCCTTTGAAACACAGTACCACCAATGCTGTTTCTCTCCAATGCTGCTTTTCTCTGATGCTGCCTTGCCTCTGCTCTGCCATTCTCTAGATGCGCCCACAAGTTTGACTCTGCAGCAGCGGTTGGGCATTCTCCTGGAGGTGGCACGAGGCTTGGAGTATCTGCCCAGCTTTGGCCTCGTGCACCGCGACATCAAGCCTGCCAACATCCTCCTTGATGCTCACATGCAGGTGGGCTGGTCAGATGCTCGCAAGGCACTTTCTTCACATGCAGGTGGGCTCACCAAATGGTGGCAAGGCACAGGTCTGGCAATCAGGCGCACGCACTCATGCACGATATCGCCCCAATCCTCGTCCGCCTCTCGTCTTGCTTGCCTTGCCCGTCCTTCCCCAGGCAAAAGTGGCGGACTTTGGGCTTGTGCATGTGGGGGAGGGCATGACAACAGGGTTCACGCGAGTGCTGGGAACGGTGGGCTATGTGGACCCTGCTTACTACCTTACGCACAACGTCACCACCACTGCTGACGTTTACAGGTGTGCCGCAGATTTTGAGTCTGTTTCTAAGTCAGGTTGGATGTGTGATTTAGGGAATACGACGCCACCACCGTCACTGGTGTATACATACAGAACACACCCTTGAAGTGCAAATGTACAGTGAATCAAACGTGTTAAGCAGTGAATTGAATGCAAATGAAGGTCAATACTGTCAACGGGAGTTGTGGTTGGCCCCGTCCTCGCTTGGGCGGAGCCGACTTCGTGGTCGGGTGTGCGGGAGGTGCAGCGGACCTGTAGCAGAGGGCAAGCTGGTCGACGTGGCTGGTCGACCTGCACGAGGGTCATTGCAGTGGCGCCGACTATGGTGGGCGCTGAGTTCAGGTGGTCGGCCTTGGGAGGTCGACCTGTGAAAGGCGTCGACTTGGGGACGCCGACTTGGGGCAAGCGACTTGGTGTGGTCGGCTGACAGCTGGGCTGGTCGACCTAAAGCTTGTCGACCACGAGTGTGGTCGACCTGGAGCTGGTCGACCAAGGGTGTTGGTCGACTTGGTGTGGTCGACTGGAGGTGGACGTCGACCTGGGCAGTCGACGGGCACGAGGAGAAGCAGCTGGTCGACATGGTTGTCTGGTCGACCAGGTTACCCGGGCGACGGGGCTCTGCGAGGTGCGCGACCATCGCCCAGGAAGGATTTGAGAAGTCGACCTGCGGTTCGGTATCCCGAGGTCGACATGGCTCCACAGGTGCAACCGTTGGCACGTGATCGACCTGGCACCTGCGCAATGTGCGTGGCGGTGCACGTCGTGCTCAACCGTCACCTGGCACCTGCGAAGTAGGTGCGCGCACATGTGCACATGGTGGCCTGATGCTGGTGTGTGCTGGCACGCCAACCTTGCAATGCACATGGGGACCTGAGGACGCCTGAGCTCGCCCTGCTGGCAAGTCGCCCTCAGGGTGTGCTGGAGGTCGACTTGCTGGTGTGCTAAGTAGCAAAGAAGTCGGACGTGCTGCGGGAGTTCGAGAAGTGGCTGGTCGTGGCCGAGCGGCAGACCAAGAAGTCGGTGCTGATGCTGCGCTGTGACCGGGGAGGGGAGTTCCTCGGGAAGGAGTTCACTGCATTCGTGGACGGCAAGGGAATCGTCCACGACCGCACCTGCCCCTACACACCGCAGCAGAATGGCATGGCACAGCGGGAGATGCGGACGGTGGTGGAGTCGGTGCGGACGATGCTGCTGCACATGGGCGTGCAGCACCACTGGTGGCACCTCGCTCTGCGGCAGGCCTTCTGGGTCCGCAACTGCCTTGAGAGGTCGACGCTGCCGCCAGGGACGACGCCGTACCAGCTGCTCACCGGGAAGAAACCCGACTTGTCGCTGGCGCGGGTATGGGGCTGTATTGTGCAGTTCCTGGTCCCCGAGAAGCAGCGTGGTGGCAAGCTGAAGCCGAAGGCCAGATGGGGCTTTCACCTCGGTGTGTCGGAGGAGAGCAAGGGATGGGAGATCCTGGACCTCACCGACAACAGGGTGGCCACCACGTCGGACGTGGTGTTCTACGAGACTATGTCGCTGGAGGTGTGGAAGTCGGAGCACGGGCCGGCGTCGGGGCGGACGCAGGTCAACCTGCGGACGGACACCTCGACGGCGACGCTCCCGCTGCTCGTCGAGGTCGGCGAGCTTGCTGATGAGGATGCCGAGGTCGTCTGCCCTCTTTCCTCTTCCCCTTTCCCCCCTGCCCCCCTTGTAGCTGACCTGCGTAAGCTGAAGTCGACGTCGGCCAGCGGCGATGAAGGGAGCAGTGGGGCGTCGCCTGTGGTGCCGGCCAAGAGCATCGCCGGTGGCCGACGTGACGCCACGCAGGTCGGCGTGGGAGCAAAGTCGACGCCGACAGGGGAGCGGCTGGCAGAGAAGGTGCAGCCGACTTTGGTGGAGCCGGCGAAGGAGGCGTCAGCAGTGAAGCCGACCAAGGAGCAGTCGGCGACCGTGCAGTCGGCAGGGGAGCTGACGACAGGGGAGAAGTCGGCAGGGACGCCGACTGAGGTGCAGCAGGACGTCGAGGGGAGCGGAGTAGGTGACGGCGAAGGGGAGCAGCTGGGCGCCGAGGAGTCCACCGATAGCAACGTGGTGGAAGTCCAGTCTGGACCGGCCGAGTCCGTAGGCCACCTGAATTCCTGTCCTACCACGTCTGCCAGGTGCCGGCCGCCTTAGCCGCGATGTACGAGGACGTCGATGATGAGCCTCTGTACGACGACGCTGAGGATGACGTTGACCTGCCTGAGCTCGACCCCGACATGCACGCCGACCCCGAGCACCGCTGGGACATCTCCACGATGACGGTGAAGGAGGTGTTGGCGAGCTGGAAGGGCAAGGCGAAGGCCGCCATGGACGAGGAGATCCGCAGTTTGATCGGCATGGGGACGTGTGAGCTGGTCGAACGCCCACCCGGGTTGAACATCATGAAGAACCGGTGGGTGTTAATGATGAAGTACCGCATCGACGACACCGTCGAGCGCGAGAAGGCGAGGCTGGTCGTGAAGGGCTTCACGCAGGTGTATGTCGCCGACTACGACGAGACGTACGCGCCGGTGAGTAGCTACGCCACGCTGAGGATCTTCTTCAGCATCGTCGCCGTCCTCGACCTCAACCTGATGCAGCTCGACATGAAGAACGCCTTCTTGCAGAGCAGGCTCGACCGGGTGCTATACATGTATCAGCCGGACTACTTCAACGACGGGACCGGCCGGGTGTGCAGCCTGCTGAAGAGCCTGTACGGGCTGAAGCAGTCGCCGGTGTTGTGGTACAAGGCGCTCGACGATGTGCTGATGGGCCCTGGCTGGAAGAAGAGCCAGGTCGACCAGGCGCTGTACTTCAAGGTCGGCGGGGATGGCGTGGCCTGCTGGGCGCCAGCAGCAAAACGGACATGCTGAGGGTGCTGAAGGAGCTACTGGAGGCCGCCTTCGAGCTGCGTGAGATCTCGCCGGTGGACAGGTACCTCAGGCTGGAGATCGTGCGCGACAGGCCGGCGAGGAAGCTTTGGCTGCACCAGCAGGGCTACGCCGACAAGCTGCGTAGGCGCTTCATCGACGAGGAGCAGGCCAGGCGCATCCCGAAGACGCCGATCTCGGTCGATGCCTACGCCGAGCTGACGTTCGACGACGAGGAGGCCCAGGAGCGCCAGGAGGAGGAGTACCGGCAGAAGGTCGGCTCGCTGCAGTTCGCGGCGACGACGACGAGGCCGGACATCACCTTCGCCTGCAGCAAGCTGGGGAGCGGCCTCACGGTGAGGAGTGACCAGCACTGGCGTGAGGTCGACCGCTGCCTCGCCTACCTCGCCGACACCCGTGACACCGCCCTGGAGTTCGGCGGTGGAGCAGAGTCGCTGAAGCTGATCGGCTACGTGGACGCCGGCGACGCCGGCGACAAGCAGAACCGGACGAGCACGGGCGGCTACGTGTCTGTCTACGGAGGGGCCGCAGTCTCCTGGTCGAGTCAACGCATCAAGTGCGCGACGCTGTCATCCACCGAGTCGGAGTACGTGGCGGCCACTGAAACCGGCAAGGAGGGACGCCGTCTTCGCTTCCTTCTTGCAGAGTTCCGGCAGTTGGACGCCGGGACGCCGACTGTCCTTCGGGTGGACAACAAGTCGGCCATCACGGTCGCCGAGGGCATGGGGTTGATGGGCAACCTCAACCACATGGAGCGGCGGCAGGTCTGGCTGCAGCACATGGTGAAGCGCGGGAAGTTTTTGCTGAAGTACATCCCGACCACCGAGCAGCCAGCCGACTTCCTGACAAAGGCGCTGCACTATCCGGCCTTCAACCGGTGCTCCGTCGCGATCGGCTTGGTGCGAGTGGTCGACGTCAGCGACGGTGACAACGACGTGCAGCAGTAGGCGCCATGCCCTTTTGCATGGCTGGTGCGGTGACGGCGTGCTGTGCGTTGGGTGCACGCCGATGGGCTATTCTCTGAGTCGTGCTGCCGTGTGGGCTGGGGGCCCAAGCGTGAACGCGGCAGGGGAGTGTCAACGGGAGTTGTGGTTGGCCCCGTCCTCGCTTGGGCGGAGCCGACTTCGTGGTCGGGTGTGCGGGAGGTGCAGCCGACCTGTAGCAGTGGCCGAGCTGGTCAACGTGGCTGGTCGACCTGCGCGGGGGCCACTGCAGTGGCGCCGACTATGGTGGGCGCTGAGTTCAGGTGGTCGGCCTTGGGAGGTCGACCTGTGAAAGGCGTCGACTTGGGGACGCCAACTTGGGGCAAGCGACTTGGTGTGGTCGGCTGACAGCTGGGTTGGTCGACCTGGAGCTTGTCGACCAGGAGTGTGGTCGACCTGGAGTTGGTCGACTTGGTGTGGTCGACTGGAGGTGGACGTCGACCTGGGCGGTCAACGGGCACGAGGAGAAGCAGCTGGTCGACATGGTTGCCTAGTCGACCAGGTTCCCCGGGCGACGGGGCTCTGCGAGGTGCGTGGCCATCGCTTAGGAAGGATTTGCGAAGTCGACCTGCGGTTCGGTATCCCGAGGTCGACATGGCTCCACAGGTGCAACCGTTGGCACGTGATCGACCTGGCACCTGCGCAATGTGCGTGGCGGTGCACGTCGTGCTCAACCGTCACCTGGCACCTGCGAAGTAGGTGCGCGCACATGTGCACATGGTGGCCTGATGCTGGTGTGTGCTGGCACGCCAGCCTTGCAATGCACATGGGGACCTGAGGACGCCTGAGGTCGCCCTGCTGGCAAGTCGCCCTCAGGGTGTGCTGGAGGTCGACTTGCTGGTGTGCTAGGTTGCTAGGCATCTGATGTAGTCAACCTTGCCAATCCTAATTGTACCATTGTTGTGAACTTTTGCTAGTGAAACTCTTGCCAATTTCCCCCGTGAACCAGCAAGTAGTCCAAGCACAAGCCAACGACTAAGGAACGAACGCAGAGATCACCCCTACCCCATGCCTAGCCCATAGTCTAGCTCCCGTTGCTAGAGTTATCTCCGCAAATACACAGCCCCTACTTTGCTTGATGTATGCTCAATGAAAGAATGAGATACGAGTTTAGGCTTTGGGGACATTCCAACACCTACTTCACTTCTCAAAATTGTCATCTGCTCCCACTTGCATTCTTTCCTCTCATTGTGAGATGGCACTTGGCAATGCTTCTTTCCTATGCTATTCAAACCCTACAGTATGCGTTACTCCTTTCTCCTTTGCTTCCTTCCGTCCTTGCTTCCTTGTTTCCTTGCTTCCCTTCTTCCTTACTTTGGTGCTTCCTTCATTCTCAAATGCGTTTCATGGTGCAGCGTTGTCATTCTCGTGTTCG